GGCAGCAGCGGTGCTCATGTGAGCGATTCCCCTCTCGCTAGGAGACGCGGCCGCACGGGAGGCGGCAGCGGCGCCGGTGGCGCGGGCAGTAGCGAGGCGGCTGATGCCGCGTGGGGCGACCTCCTTTCCCGCGATGGAGAGGGGTGCTGGCTGCAGAGGGGGAGCTGCCGGGGCACGGGATCCGGCAGAGCGCGGGAGCCGTGCAGCTCCAAGGGCAGACAGTGGCAGAGAGCGGGGAGGCAGAGAAAACAGCGGCTTCTATGTAAGAGAGAGAGGGAAATCGGGGAGGGGAAGGTCAGAAGCTAAGACAGGAAAGGCATAAACTCATAGTAAAGAGAGAAACCCTTAAGTGACAGGGAACTCTGACAATAAATGAACATCCCTCTGTGTCTCGGGCAGCTCCTTCTCCAAGGAAAGCAGGTGGGAGTTGGAGCCAAGGAGCTGAAAGCTGCAGGTGCAGCCTGGGCTGGAGGGAGCTCAGATTTGCACAAGGCTGCTCTGAGTGCCAGGGCTTGGATGGGGGAAATGGTGGGGAGGGGGTAGGGACAGAGTCTGATTGATTGTCAGCCATGAAGGGTCTTGATTTTCATATCTATTCAAACTGCATGAGGAGGTACTTGGATTCAGTGCCAATTGGAGATTGCACATATCCGTTTATGAATGGAGAAAAAACATAAACAAGACCTAAAAACTGTTTTCTCAGTGTCTTCATAAATAGAATATATAGAGTTTGAATACACTCCTGAAATCTGCCTAATTAGCCACAAAGTATTTGAAAACTTAAATTATCCCCAGAGGCTTGGCTTGTTAAGGTGTTCTCAATGTTAATGAGCCCTGGGACACTGAATTCCTGCACTGAAAAGCTGCAGGCTGAACAAGCCTCTGGAGCAGTGAAATCCAGCAGCAGCCTCCAAGGTGCTGAGGATGTCAGCAGCCCCCACTGAGCCCATCCCTGCCCAGAGACCGTGGGGGAATGGGCAGACAAGGAGAGCGTCCCTGGGGCTGGGCCAGCAGAACTCGGAGGCACCAGGGGCTCCAGCTGGGAAATGGAGTGTGGAATGTGGCTGGGAAAGCCCTGCCTGGGCTGTGCCAAGCAGGACAGACAGGCCCTGACTCCGATCCCGCCAAACAATTCCCTCAAGGAGACATTTAAAGGGAATTACAGTTATTTGTGTACTCTGAGTTGGATACACTGGAGAAATACCAACAAGAGATTCTCACCATCTAAAAGCAGCCTTTACTGGCAACTTTAGAAAATCAGAGAAACTTCGGCAAATGGTTTAGTATGGCATTCAATCAACAAAAAAAAATGTTTCTGAAAGCATTAACTTGGCCACTCAGCTTCACAAACTCTGAGCCTGATTAATTTTAAGTTCATCAAAATTCACCAGAGGAGAGAAATAGAAGAAGAAGACATAGAAAGAGGGAAAAATAAGATTCAGAGAAGCACACACACAGCTTCCAACTCCTGGATTCCAGCAGTGTTCAGATAGAAATTCCAAGAGCAGGTAGGGTCATTTGTGTGCTTGCCTTGTGGTCAGCCTTCAATACCCCTTGGCCTTCCTGGGCCCTTCCCCCAGGTGGGACTTGGGCTAATTTGGTCACTCAGGAGCTGGGCTGGGGCTCCAGAGGTGGCTGTGGAGCATTGCCTGTGCTGTGCCAGGGAGTGGCAGACACTGCTGGGCTGGGATAGAGGCTCTGGGGGGATTGGGGTTCCAGGGCAGGGCAATGCTGGGGTTCCAGGGCAGGGCAAGGCTGGACCTGCCCCTTCCTGCCCCACACATGAAATGTTTCCAGCCAACAATCTTCTCCAGTCTGGCACAATAGGGAATGTTGGAGGTGAAATCCCCATTCTGGCTGTGGGCACCTGGATGAGAAGGACAGCTCTTTTCCACAGGAAGGAAAGCACAGAGCCTCAGTGTTTGGAAGGCAGGTGAGAGCCTCACTAGGCCAAGGCCAGCCAGACTTATCAGTAATGGCAGATTTTGTCTGGGAGCTGTCTTTGCATGGAAGGAATTTTGTAGTTGGAAAATCAGTCTTGGCCATGGAGAAGCAGGACATTTCATTCCAACAGGAAGGAAAGCATGGAGCCTTCCCCAGGTTTTTGGGGACAAATGAGAGCTGACCCTTGTGAAACCACTGCCAGCCAGAGTCGTCCTGGCAATATTCCTATGGGAACAATCCCCAGATATATGGAAATTTGGAGGTGAAACCCCAATTCTGGCCATGGGTGCCTAGAGAAGAAGAAGAATTATTTTCCACTGGGAAGGAAAGCACAGAGCCCCAGTGTTTCAGCAGCAGATGAGAAGAGACCCTCAATGTGCCAAGGTTAGCTGGAGCAGTGAGGCAGCCCATGAGAGGCCAAACCAGCCAGACCTGTTCTGTGTGCCCTTGTTTTTATGGGGCCCAAAAGTATCACAGTAACACCTTGGTTCAATGGGGTCCCAGTATCACAATGGTCCCTTGGTTCCAGAAGGTCCCACAGTGTCACAATGGTCCCAATGATTCCATGGGCCCCTGCAGTGTCACAATGGTCTCCGTGGTTCCACAGGTCCCACAATGTCACATGACTCCTCTGTTCCATGAGGCCTGCAATGTCACAATGGACCTTTGGACCCTGGGGGTTTGCAGTGTCACAATGGACCACTGATGACAGGAGGCCCCTCTGTGTCACCCTGTAGCTTTGGTTCCCTGCAGCCCTGCAGTGTCACAAAGGCCTCTTGGTTTCACAAGGCCCCACAGTGTCACAATGGTCCTCTTGGTTCTCTAGTGACCCCCCAGGGTCACAATGGTCCCACTAGTTCCATGAGTCCCCTCAGTGTCACAATGGCCCTTTGGTTCCATGAGACTGTGAAGTCTCTTAATGGTGTCTCCATTGTTGATGAGGTCTTTCAATGTCACAAGGGACCTTTGGCTCCATGGGGTTTTGCAGTGTCAGAGTGGCCCCTTGGTTCCATGACAGCCCAAAGTGTCACAATGGTCCCATTTGTTCCATGAGGCCCCACAGTGTCACCATGGTCCCTTGGTCTCACAGGGCCCCACAGTGTCACCATGGTCCCTTGGTTCCATGGACCCTGTGCTGCTGCATTCCCCCCTCCCCTTCTCAGGCCGCCCTGCCAGCTGAGAAATGCTCCTTGGGCCTCGGCCTTGGCCAACAGCCCCTGGGCTCAGCTCCTCTGCAGCTCAGCACAAACACTGTCTGCTCCAGGCACTGCTGTGCCCAACCAGCTCCTGGTTGCTGTAGGAGCAGCCCTGGGAACTGGTTTTGTTCCCTCAGTGGCACAACATCCCCATTCTCACAGTGCCAAAGAAAGCTGTTGATGCCAAGTGCGGCCAGGATGAACCATTGCTGGGACTGCAGCCCCTCTCTTGGGGCCCTACAAACAGCGCTCCAAAAGGAGCCCCTTGGAGCTCTCCTGGGCCAGCAACTCCCTCTGAGTGGGGCCTCTCCCAGCCGGGAACTCTCCCGTTTGCTGCACTCGGGGATCCCGAACAACGACGGAGCCTGGGCTGATCCCCCCACTCCTCCAGGCTCAACCCTTCACCCTTTGGCTGGGGAGATGCCAAAGGATCCACAGGGAGCATTTCCTGCCCTCAGGGGAATTTCTCACAGGTGCCTTGCACTGACTCTTTGTGTCTGGTGTCACCATGGTCCCTTGGTTCCATGGACCCTGTGCTGCTGCATTCCCCCCTCCCCTTCTCAGGCCGCCCTGCCAGCTGAGAAATGCTCCTTGGGCCTCGGCCTTGGCCAACAGCCCCTGGGCTCAGCTCCCCTGCAGCTCAGCACAAACACTGTCTGCTCCAGGCACTGCTGTGCCCAACCAGCTCCTGCTTTCTGTAGGAGCAGCCCTGTGAACTGTTTTTGTTCCCTCAGAGGCACAACATCCCCATTCTCACAGTGCCAAAGAAAGCTGTTGATGCCAAGTGCGGCCAGGATGAACCATTGCTGGGACTGCAGCCCCTCTCTTGGGGCCCTACAAACAGCGCTCCAAAAGGAGCCCCTTGGAGCTCTCCTGGGCCAGCAACTCCCTCTGAGTGGGGCCTCTCCCAGCCGCGAACTCTCCCGTTTGCTGCACTCAGGGATCCTGAACAACGAGGGAGCCTGGGCCGATCCCCCCACTCCTCCAGGCTCAAACCTTCACCCGCTGGGGAGATGCCAAAGGATCCACAGGGAGCATTTCCTGCCCTCAGGGGAATTTTTCACAGGTGCCTTGCACTGACTCTTTGTGTCTGTGTGCACACAGCAGTGCCTGCGCTGGGGAAATGGGGCAGAAATGCTGCTCTCTGAGGGGTTGGAGTGCCTTGGATAGCTGAGTCAGTCAGGCCTGTAAGTCAGGTTAAGTCATGAGGAATAACCTAAGTTAAATGCTGCTAAGAGTTTTTCTTTTGCTAAGATTAATATAAGTTATAATCTAAGTTAAATATTGTTAAGTGTTATTCTTCTTTTAAATTGCGAAGTCAGAGGTTTTAAATTAGGTTAAATACTGTTAAGTGCTGTTCTTTTGCTAAACTGTGAAGTTGACAATATCAGTTAAGATTAAGGCATAAGTTAAGTCCTGTTAAGTTTAACCTCTGTTAACCTTTTGGGCCGTATTCCTTTTATCCTTGCCCTCACTGCCCTTTTATCACACACACACAGGGATAGTTCTCGGTTCATTTCTGGTTTGATTGCCTGGATTTGGTTTGGTTTTGTTGTTGCTTTGTTTCCTTGCTGTGCCTGAAGTGTCCAGTCAGGAGCAGAGTGACTCTTGCCAAGGAACTTTGTGGTGCTGTCCCTTAATATTAAATCTGGTTTTTGCTGATCCCTTGCTGGGGATTTTTTCAGTGCTCTCAAGGCCTCGTTCGTAACAGGGTGAAGGAATCCTGGCCCAGGCTCTGGCCCTAGGGGAACATGGGGATGCTGCCAGGGGGTCCCTGTCCCCCTGTCCCACCCCCAGGGTCCCAGCCCCCCGTCCCCATGTCAGGCTCTGGGGTCGATCTCGTGGAACATCCGTTGGGGGAGGCTGCGGCGCCGGGGGCGGGGGGACCCGGGGGGACAGGGGACCCCGCTGTGCACGAGCAGCGTTGGACTGCTCTGGGGGAACTGTGAGGGGGGCTGGGGCAGAGTGACCTCCCCGGTGACCTCACACAGCCCCTGTCATATCACACAGACCTTGTGATGTCACATAGCTGCCCTGTGATGTCACATACTCACCCTGTGATGTCACACTGCCCCTATGATGGATGTCACAGCCCTCTCTGGGATGTCACACAGAGACTTGCGATGTCACAGACTCAGTACTGGGATATCACACTGGGATGTCATATTTCAGTGATGTCCTGAAGTCACCCTGTGATGTCAGTCTGTTCTGTGATGTCACAGCCTGCTCTGCAATAATATTCAGCTAACCAATGATGTCACAACCCAGACTCTGATGTCAGAGAGCCACCCTTTATGATGGCAGAGTCTGCAATATGGCCTCACACCCCACTTTATGGCATCACAGCCAGCTCTGTGCTGTTACAACCCGCTCAGTGCTGTCACAAATCCCTCTCTGTCATGTCATACTGACACTTTATAATATCACAGCACAAACTTTCACCTCACAGTCTGCTCTATGATGTCATACAGCCATGCCATGATGTCACAGCCGGTGCTGTGATGCCACAGAATTCCCTCTATGCTCAATGACCTCACTCATCAAACTCTGTGATGTCACAGCCCAAACTGTGACCTCACACAGCCCACTCTGTGCTGTCACACAGCCCCTTTCTGACATCACAGCTGCTCTGTGCCTCTATGACACAGCCACAGAGGTGCTGCTGTGACACAGCCCCCTCTAGGACATCCCCCAGCCCCTGCCAGTGCTGAGCCCCTGTGAGCTGTGTCTGTGCCCTGCTCGTGTCCCTGAGCTGCCCTGGCAGTGCCCCAGCCCTGATGGGCTGTGCCCAGGAGCTGCTCCTGGCCAGAGCTGTCTCTCTGCAGCGCCGCCCCTGCCAGGAGCTGCCTCTGGGCCAGGAGCCCGGCCCAGCTCAGCAGCACAGACACAGCACCAGGACTTTAATGACCCTCTGGGGCTTTGGTGCTCTTTGCATCAGACCCAGTCCTTCAGAGTGTACTCAAAGAACTTCTCAAGAACTCAAAGTTAAGTTGAAACATGGAAATTTCTTCTAGTTTATATGGGATCCACTGAGGGATATAACTAATGTGAAAGTGTCCCCAGGTTCCAGGTAAAGCAGAACACTAGAGACGCCCCCAGCTGCCCCAGCTGGCTGGCCCCTTCCTTTGCTGACAGCTCTGCCTCCTGCCTGCCTCTGCCTGCCCACACAAAGCCTTGGGCTGCTCCTGGCTTCTTCTTGGGGACTTGTTGCACCTCAGCCCTGTCCTGGGAGGAAAATTCCTTTCTCCTGGTGTCCAGTCTGTGCCTCCCCAGCTGCCCTTGGTGCCATTATTGCCTTCTCATGCTTATATCCTCTATGAAGAAAAGCTCCAGCCTCTCTGAAACCATCCTTCGATCCCTCCCAAGCTCCTCCTGTTCTGCCCTCATTCTCCACATCACTGAGCCCATAGTCTGATGCCTCCTCCTGCTGGTTATGTGATGAGGCCTCCAAATCCCATCTTGGGAGATTTTGGGTCCTCTCCAAGGTCTGTGAAAATGGAAAAATACTGGTCAAGTTATGTTCTCCCAAATCTTACAGTGACAGAAAAAGGGTCAATATCTTTAAACTGAATTAGGGCAGATTTACATTTGTTAGAAGAAGAAAATATTTTACAATGATGAGAGTGCCACAAAAGTGCAACTGTATTCCCAGAGAAGTGGATTCCCCATCCCTGGAATTGTCCAAGAGCAGGAGCTTTGTGCAACCTGACCCAGTGAAACCCCCTCATCCCCAGGGACAGAATTCCTGTTGTGGGGGTTCCCTGATGTGCTGGGTGCCCGCACAACGCTTCTGGCCAGAATGTCTGCTGAGGGCAGCCAGGCTGCTGCAGGGGCAGTGACCTCACAGCCATCACCATGGCAGCCCTGTCCCCTGGGCCTGGCTCTGCCCTTTCCTCTGCCCCTGCCCTTTCCTCTTCCCCTGCCTTGTCTCTGCTGGCATGAAGAGTTTTGTCATTCATATCTTGTCCCCAAGGTGCTGGGGCCAATGGCTTCCCAGGCAGGCTCCTGGAGCAGAAGTGGCTTTTCAGAGCCCAGGCAGAAGTGAGCCCTGAGGCAGCAGCTCTGCAGTGGTGGCCACCAGGCCGGGCTGCCAAGGGAGGCTTCTGGCCATGCCCTGCAAGCAGCTGCTGCTGCCAAGGTGCCTTTAGTGCCTCAGGCTCTGCCTGGCATAGCTCCCAGCACGGCATTCTGCCCTTGTGCCCGAGGCCTTCCCTGTGCTGGGGCTGGCCTGGGGCTTTTCCTGCAGCAGGACCTGCCCTGGTCCTGGCACAGGAAAGGCAGTTCCTGCTGGAGCAGGAGGCTCTGCCTGCACTGGGCTCCAACAACTCCAGCAAGGCCCTGTTGACTTCAAAATTGCTTCCTGGAGGACTATATTCTAATAATTGTTATTGCTCCTGTACTGTGCAGTAGATAAATCTGGTTAAGAAGTTTGTGACTAATCATGATCAGAATCAACCAGACCTGTATTTATATGAATTTATCTGGTATTCCATTGTTAATCCTTTGGGACAAATTGCATTAAGGTTCAATTTCACCTGTCCAATCTTTTACAGCATTGACAAAGTCCGAGGCTGGTATTGGATCCAGTCACTCCCAGGCACCTCTCTTAGAAAGAATTTCAGAAGTCTAAGGGTCCTGCAGGGGTTTGAGGATCCATGGTGGCTGTTGGGTGTCATTTCTCCACGTCATGACTCACCAGGAGTTTCTCCAATAAAGAAATAAAGCTTTTGCCTGAAGTTCCCACTGTGCCCATGACAGGAACCCATGTGAGTGTCTGGGACATCCCAGCTCTTTGGCAGCCTGGGGACTCGTGGGATGTCACCGTGGAGCCCCCATCAGTGCCTGTGACAGATCGGTGCTTTTGCAGCCCAAGGTGCCCTGGGATGTCACCATGGAATGGCTGTGACTGCCTCCGAGCACAGGGCTCTTTCCCATAGGCTGTTGCCATGGCCACCAGGGCTGGGACCAGCTGGGATGCTCGGTTTCCATGGGCCGGGGTTCAGGAATGGGATTCCCCAATTTCCTGCTCCCGTTAAAACCGTGCTGCCACTCACTGCCCTTCCGCCTCCCATGGAAAGGACAAAAGGCAAAGATCCTGGATGGGGTAAGAACAATTTATTGGGAACAGCAACGAGATAAAAAACAAACAGGAACAGAAACAATATTGATAACAGAAGGGAAAAGAAAAACTATTTACAGGGAAAACCAAAACACAACTCACTGCGTCATCCTGGCCACATAATTCCTCCGGCCTGGGAAGGACACCCTTCTCCTCAGGGAGAGACCCTTTCCTGCCCCTGGCAATGACCTGAGGAGAGAGTGAATATAATCTCACGGCCCTGCCAGAACCTCATGTTCTTTGATCCCACATCATGTCATTGGCAGGGGCAGGAGAAGGGACAGGTGTCTTCCCAGCATGGATTACAGGGAACATGGATCACCAGGACTCTTACCAGTGTGGGTCCTCCAATTGGGTATGAAGCTGGAGCCAGGCACACAGCTCTCCCTGCAGTTGGGGCATTTGCAGGGCTTCCCTTACTGGTGCTTCTGCAGGTGTCTGGTCAAGGCAGAGCTCCCTGTGAAGCTCTTCCCACAGTGGGGACACTCGTAGGGCCTCTCCCCAGTGTGGATGCGGCGGTGGGTGAGGAGGTGGGAGTTTTGCTTGAAGCCCTTCCTGCAGTCAGGCCAGCGGAAGGGCCTCTCCTCTGTGTGAATCCGTTCATGCATGAGGAGATTGGAGCTGGTGTGAAACCTCTTCCCACAAGTGGGGCACTCAAAGGGCCTCTCCCCAGTGTGGATGCGCTGGTGCTTCACGAGGTCGGAGTTGTGCTTGAAGCCCTTTCCACAGTCGGGACAGCGGAAGGGCCTCTCGTCTGTGTGAATCCGCTCATGCTTGAGGAGATTGGAGGTGGTGCGAAACCTCTTCTGACAGTGGGCACGCTCGTAGGGCCTCTCCCCAGTGTGGATGCGTTGGTGGTTCATGAGGTGAGACCTCCGGCTGAAGCCCTTCCCACACTCCCGACACGCATAGGGCCATTCCCCAGTGTGGATCATCTGGTGGCTGATCAGGGTGCTGCTCTGCCTGAAGCTCTTCCCACACTCCAAGCACTTGTAGGCCTTCTCCCCATCATTAAGCTGCTCATGGGCCACCAGCTCTGAGCTCTGGCTGAAGCTCTGTCCACCTTCCTGGCTCAGGGTGGGTCTTTCCTCCTCAGAGAACCCTGGGCTGGGTTTGTAAGCCCTCCTCCTGTGGGGTCTTTGGGGCTTTTCCTCCCTGGTGGATTCCTGTGCCCTGGACTCAATCAAAACGGCCTCTTGCATGAGGTTCTGCTGTGAAGATTTGTCCTCCCTGGTCTCCATCCTCAGCTTCTTGTCTGGGGGAGGAAGGACAAGGAGAGGATGGGATTTGCCTCCGTACCACAGGGAAGGGGAAGAAGATCCCCCCATTGCATCCCCAGCAGGACGGTGTTGGAAGGAGTGTTGTCCTGCAGCCTTGGGCTGTGCCGGGCAGGGAGATGGAACAGGAGAGAGGGGGAAAGGGGCTGTGACTTCCCCCTCACCTGCCTGGTGGTTGTGGGGCATCTTCCTCTTCCTCGCAGCCTTCTCCTCCATCTGGTGGTGGTTCCAGAGAGGCTGACAAGGTTCATTCACCCCATGGTGAGGAACACGAGGCTGCTAGAAGTCTTACAAGAAGCCCAGCTCAGGTAGCTAAATTCCCGAATAACTCCCAGATTCATAGGATTGGGGGCTTTGCCAAATGTGAGAGTCATTATTCTCTTCATCCCTCCCCTTCGTGACACCTACACAGAGCTTTCTCTTCTTTTTAATAACATGTATTGGGCCGAATTTCTACTTTTCTTTTATCAGAACGTGCCAGCCGCTGAGCTGGAGCTGTGCAGGAACCAATGAAACTTGGAATTCCCACATCATTGCTTCTCTTGTTGGTTTATTAATATTTGGGATTTGTTTGTGTTTTCATCACATGTGACTTGTGGGAAAATGAAATATTCATCAACACATTTTATGCAGAGTTAAGTTTGATTTCTGCCAAGTTTATTTTGTCCAGGGCCCAATGGATGATCAAGGGGTCGAGAACTACAGCATCCCTTTGGGATATGCTCTGCCCAGAGGGGAGAGCCAAGCATTCCTACCTGATATATAATCTTGAGGTTCTGGAACACCAGCATGGCTTTCTCCACTGGATTTCCCAGAGGAACAGTAGCTGCCTCTTCCACTGGATCTTCAGAGGAAGACTACACCTTTCTCCAGGATCCCTGCTCCAGCAGAACCGCACCTGACACTCCAGGAGGACTGCAGCCACATTTCCAATTGGATTGCTACCAGCACCCTGACAAAGAGGGTGTCAGGTTGTGTTCTGACTCTGTCAGTCTTGTTTTAGTTTGCTGCATGGTTTATCTTTTTATTTTCTTTCCTAATAAAGAACTGTTATTCCTGCTCCCATATTTTTGCCTGAGAGCCTTTTAATTTCAAATTTGTAACAATTCAGAGGGAAGGGTTTACATTTTACATTTCAATATGGTATATAATATGTTACAGCTGTTATACCTGGGAGCAAATGTTTCTGAGTAAGATAACATTGTCTAATCATTACCATAATAGATATGTTTATAGAAATATCTCTGGTTTGCCATCCTTAATCGTGTGGGACAAACTCTATAAAGGTTTCATTCCACCTTTATAATTCTTTACATACAAAATCTTGAAAGTCTGGGACTGGGATTGCAACCAGCTGCTCCAAGGCTCCTCTCACAAGAAGGAGTTTAGAAAGCTTGAAGGTCCTTGCAGGTGTTTGGGGATCTGTGGGGGCTATTTTGGGGTCCAATTAACTGCCCAATTAACAGAAGATAACTGCCTTACCTGTGACAGATGGCAAATAGAATACACACATTAGCTTTCAATCCAGAACAACAGGATTTCAAATCAATGGAATAAAATTTAACATTGCTCAAGTCTAACAATGAAGTTTAACTTTGCTTAATCTTATCAGCCCTGAATTTACATTAATTTAAACATCACAGAATCAAAAATTAATATCCTTAAAATTTATAGATACAACAAAATTTAACTTATTCAGATGCTATTAATGGAAATAAGGCACTGAAAATTTGAACAATCCACGACTGAAATAACAGCATGAAGGATTTACTGGAGCGATTAAAAGGATAGAATAAGTGTGTCATGATTTTATGTAATTGAGTTTTGAGAGAAGCCCATGTTAGCAACAAATTTTATGCAAGCATAAATTTTACTAAGGCCTTTTAATGTGCAGTTTTACTGAAAGAAAAAACAATGTGGAATTCGGCACACTGCCCAGCAAACCAGCAGCTTCTTGAAATTGTATTTAGTGTCATTCCAGATGGTCAATTTACCAGCACTTCTGTTAAAGAACTTCCGGCAAGCGCTGTGGTGGGGGGGCCTGGCAGAGCCGCCCCGGGGGCTCGGGGGAACCGCGCTGGGGGCAGCCGAGCCACGCACCCCAAACAGCCTGTGGTTCCCCCTCCTACCCCAGAGGCTGTTGAATGTGCCTCCGTGCCAGAGGGAAGGGGCAGGAGATCTCCCAGTGCATCCCCGGCAGGACAGCATTGGCAGCAGGGTTGTCCTGAAGCCGGGGGCCATGCTGGGCTGGGAGATGGAGCAGGAGAGAGGGGGAAAGGGGCCCTGACTTCCTCCTCACCTGCCTGGTGGTCGCGGGGCATCTTCCTCTTCCTTGCAGCATCCTCCTCCATGTGGCCAAGGTTTAGGGATGGGAAATCCTGGTTTGGGGAGAAACAAGGGATGAGCACAGTGAGTCTGAAGGTCCTCTGCCCAAGTCCCTCTCTAGAGGTCACCTGGTGTCCATAAAAACCTCCAATAATCAAGAGTGAATTTAAAAAATCCACCAGGAGTTTCCCATTTCTAGTCTCATCCCTCTGGGGTTCTGGTGGTCCCCCCTCTCATGGCTGCCAAAGATCCCACAGCTCCTGGGGATTGCCCCTCTCCAGGGTCCTGCTTAGGGATGCTGAGGAGTTTTGGGGTCCCATGGCCCCTGTCTCCAGCCTCCCCTCAATCCAGCCACTTGAGTCTCTTTCCTCTCCCCATTGCCCTGTCCTTTTTTAGGGCAAATTTTGCCCTCCAAAAGAGGTTTCCTCTAGAAAGCAAATTCAAGCAGCCCCTCCCCCAACAAGTTTGGGAAAATATTTCCTTGGAGAAAAGTGAAAATAACCTGATTATTTAACAGGCCAAGCATTCACGAGCACAGTAAATGACCAGTGTTAAACAATAAAACCCCTTGCCACTCCAAAAGAGATGACAAACTCAGAAAGTCCCTCCTTGGGCTATAGCTCTGCTCACTCAGTCTCTTATCAAACTTTTATCAGTCTCCTATCAGTCTCTTATCAGTTCTTCCAGCACTGGAAATGCCTTGGACCAGGCTCGGCCCAATGGGCCACAGATGCGAGTTACAGGTGCTCTTCTGGGTGTTCAGTCCAGAACACATTTAAACAGCTCCAAAGTAAAAAGAAAAATCACAGTCCAGAGAACTTATTTGCCTCAGAGGGCTAAAAACTAACTAAAAACAAAGGAGAGCCCTGTCCCACCGTCTGCGTATCCAGGAGCCAGAATGTGGAGGAGTGACTGCAGTTTCTAAAACAAACTGCTCACGTCTTCCTCCCTCCCCTCGCTCTCAGAACCAGCCTTAAAGGTGCAGAACTCATTTCTGGGCTAAACAAATGAATGGGGGTACGAGCATGATCCCAGGTTCAGCCCTTCTGGGCGTTTGGGGGTGTCTCTGTCCCTCGGACCCCGATGATGTTTGGGAGGGGTCACACCAGGGCTGAGAGGGACAGAAACCCCCCCGGCCTCCCCAGTGATGAGAAGTCGGAGAGACCCCCCAGCTCCGAGCACCCTCAGCAATGAGAGGGACACAGAGCCCCTGGTCCCCAGCCCTGCACAGGCATTCCCTGAGGCCAGAGGGATGGAGACCCCCCGAGCATCCCCCAGGGTGAGGGGACAGAGACCCCTGAGCATGCCCTGGGCTGAGAGGGACAGAGACTGCCCCGAGCACCCCCTGGCACAGGGGTGAGAGGGAGGGAGATCCCCCAGGCATTCCCTGGGGTGAGAATGATGGAGACCCCCTGGGGAATGGCCTGGGGCGACAGGGACAGGGACAACCCCCTGGGAAATGGCCTGGGGTGACAGGGACAGGGACAACCCCCCAAAGCCTCTCCCAAGCATTCCCCAGGGCGAGAGGCACAAAGACATCTTGAGCATCCCCTGAGCACTGGACAAAACAAACTTGGCAGAAATCAAATTTAATTCTGCATAAATCACTTTGATGAATATTTGATTTTCCCACAAGTCATATGTGAGGACAACACAAACAAATCCCAAACATTAATAAACCAACAATAGAAGCAATGATGTGGCAATTCCAAGTTTCATTGGTTCCTGTACAGCTCCAGCTCAGCTGCTGCCAGGTTCCCATAAAAGAAAAGCAGAAATTCAATCCAATGAAGATGATTAAAAGGACAACAGGGTGCCAGGTTATATCCTGACTCTGTCAGTTTAAGGTAGTGTTTCTGTATCATTGCCTTGATCTTAATTTTTTCATTAAATTGTAATTCTGGCTTAGACTCTCCCCCTGGTTTGCCCTCAAACCAGTACAAAACTCAATGCACTCATCCCTTGTTTTCCTCCCAAAACAGAATTTCCCATCCCAAATCCATTGCCAGATGGAGGAGAAGGCTGCGAGGAAGGGGAAGATGCCCCACAACCACCAGGCAGGTGAGGAGGAAGTCAGTGCCCCTTTCCCCCTCTCTCCTGCTCCATCTCCCAGCCCAGCACAACCCAAGTCTGCAGGACAACTCTGCTGCCAACGCTGTCCTGCTGGGGATGCAGTGGGGGGATCTCCTCCCCCTTCCCTGTGGCACGGAGGCAAATCCCATCCTCTCCTTGCCGCACCTTCCCCTGACAAAGAGCTGAGAATAGAGATCAGGGAGAACAAATCTTCACAGCAGAACCTCATGGAAGAGGCCGTTTTAAGCAGCTCCATGGCACAGGAATCCAACAACGAGGAAAATTCCCCAAGATCCCGCAGGTGGAGGGGCTTTTGTAATTCTGGCTTAGACTCTCCCCCTGGTTTGCCCTCAAACCAGTACAAAACTCAATGCACTCATCCCTTGTTTTCCTCCCAAAACAGAATTTCCCATCCCAAATCCATTGCCAGATGGAGGAGAAGGCTGCGAGGAAGGGGAAGATGCCCCACAACCACCAGGCAGGTGAGGAGGAAGTCAGTGCCCCTTTCCCCCTCTCTCCTGCTCCATCTCCCAGCCCAGCACAACCCAAGTCTGCAGGACAACTCTGCTGCCAACGCTGTCCTGCTGGGGATGCAGTGGGGGGATCTCCTCCCCCTTCCCTGTGGCACGGAGGCAAATCCCATCCTCTCCTTGCCGCACCTTCCCCTGACAAAGAGCTGAGAATAGAGATCAGGGAGAACAAATCTTCACAGCAGAACCTCATGGAAGAGGCCGTTTTAAGCAGCTCCATGGCACAGGAATCCAACAACGAGGAAAATTCCCCGAGATCCCGCAGGTGGAGGGGCTTCAAATTCAGCCCAGGGTGCTCTGAGGAGGAAAGACCCATCCTGAGCCAGGAAGGTGGACAGAGCTTCAGCCAGAGCTCGGAGCTGGTGGTCCATGAGCAGCTTCATGACAGGGAAAGGCCGTATGAATGCTTGGAGTGTGGGAAGAGCTTCAGGCAGAGCAGCACCCTGATCAGCCACCAGATGATCCACACTGGGGAATGGGCCTACGAGTGTGGGGAATGTGGGAAGGGCTTCATCTACAGCTCAGAACTCATCAGGCATCAACACATCCACACTGGGGAGAGGCCCTACGAGTGTTGTGAGTGTGGGAAGAGGTTTCACACCAGCTCCAATCTCCTCCAGCACCAGCGGATTCACACGGATGATAGGCCCTTCCGCTGCCCCGACTGTGGGAAGGGCTTCATCCGCATCTTCAACCTTGTCACCCACTGGCGCATCCACACTGGGGAGAGGCCTTACGAGTGTCCCCAGTGTGGGAAGAGCTTCACCCAGAACTCGCACTTGACCAAACACCAATGGAGGCACCAGTAAGGGAAGCCCTGCAAATGCCCCAACTGCAGAGTCTGGCCATGGCTGTGTCATTACATTCACGCCCATCTCAGGTCATTGCCAGGGGCAGGAAAGGGACTCTCTGGCCCCTGAGGAGAAGGGTGTCCTTTCCTGGCAGGAGGAATTGTGGCTGAGAAGAGCCACTCAGTTGTGTTGTAGTTTTCCCAGTAAATTTTCTTTTGTATTATTGCATGTATTTTGTTTTCTTTCCCTTTTCCTAATAAATTTTATTTCTGACTTGGAGTCTCTCACTGGTTTTGCTTTCAAACCAGAACACCTGCAACCCTGCCTGTGCAAATTGCTGTGCCTCATCCTCAAAGCTGTGCCCTGCCCCTGTTTGCCCACTCCGGGTCACCGCTCTGTCCAGAGGCCTCTTTTAAAGCCTCTGCCTCACACAGCAGCCGAGAAAAACCCCGCCGTGTGCCCACATGGACTAACGAGCACAACACAACCCACCTGCTGAGCAGAATTATGGGGGTGCATCCCCATCCTTCTCCCAGGGAGGGGGGTTTAGGAGCTTAGAAATGCTCCTTCGGCCTCAGCATTGCAGGGGAATGAAGGCAAACCCATTCTCTCCTCACATGGCAAAGAGGAAAATGGTTCCCTGGATACCCGCAACATGGACCGCAGAAAGATTTTAACCCCAGATGAATGACCTTGTGTCCCCACCTCCACAAGAACCACTGGGACCCCAGTGCAGAGAAGCACAGGGTGACCAAGGATGGATGGGACACTGCTGGAGCCAAGAGTCTTGTACTGTCCTGTGTTTGATCTCTTCCCCACCCCAGTCCTGATCTTCCCCACACTCGTGCACCCCCACTCTTTCCTTCCCCACCCCCTCCTCCATCTTCCCCCTCCTTCACTCTCCTGTTTCCTATCCCTTTCTATCTGTCTACTGCACATTTATTGTTAAATAAATTCCCTGTTCTTGACTTTTGTAGGTGATCTCCTGGATTGCTCATTGTTCTCAAAGGAGAACCCAAAGTACACAGAGACACAGCATGACTCACAGGGTGAAGACCTTCACTTCTTTATTTATGCCAATTGATAAGCATAAATCATAATAAATATAATTTTAGTGAAATTCTGCACCATGCACCACATGTCTTCCTCAGATGTGATTGCAATCTCCTGTAATAGCAATTAAAAGGGAAGGCAATGAGGGCACCTTGACCATTCATAAACTAAAGGTAATTTGGGATTATGACACTCTCTTTGCAAGGGTTTTCAATCTTGGTGACATCTTGTTAATGACACTTATTATCCCATTGAGGGTAAAGCCACAGATTTTCTTTTAACAATACTCTATGCCTTATACCCAATTATAGTGCTGATTAAATCCCAATGGAACTGTCCTTTGTCTGTTAGAACATACAAGTGTGAGCACCAAATGGGAGCAAATGGCCAACTGTGGATGTTGATGCCTGACTGGACAGGAGCAGCAAGGATTTCTTTCTGAAAATAATACTATTAACAACTAAGACATTTGCCTTGACACTTAAGAAAATGTCAATATTGTGTTGAATCCCCAGCGACTGTACTTGCATATGTTGGAAATGGGTGTGTCTGTTTGAGAACTCGGTGTGATTCTGTGTTTACCGAAAACAGCATCTGAGAGACATCTGATCGCTCTAATAGCTATATCTGTAGTTTTAGCAAAATGATGGGATGCAGCTTTAACAATTCAGCTCCCTCACAACTCACCACTTGCTACAATCCAGCTGCACACTGTGTCAAATTTCATTGCCTGTCACTGCTGGAGTGAATCTGGCATTGGCAAGGAACTGTTGCAATATGATGATCTGAGTCCATGCTGAAATGGACAACAGCACAACAGACACAGAACCCGCATTACCACCCATTGTCAGGCAGAGAAGACACAGCATGTCCTGGAAAGAGGGAAGAAAGATAGAGAACATTGCTGGTGGGAAACTATTTTTGGATGGCCACGCAGAGCAACTGGAATTTTGAATTTAATGTTGCATCCAATTGTAGTTTTGTGAGTTTTGGCTTTATTGTGTTCACTGCTTGTAATCATCCTGTATACTCCCAATGAAATAAAGAATGGACATTTTCCTTGGCCCTCCTTTGTTATTAATTAAAAAAAAAAAAACAAAAAAACCCCACACTTTCTATAGTATTACACAGTAGCCACTAGATTAAGTTCAAATGGAGTTTTTACCTTCCTGATGATCCTTCTACAGGAGGTCGGGGCTCAGGGCTGGGACCCTTGGAGGGCTGGGTGGGAAAAGCCCTTTAGCACTTTGGCACAGGGCTTCCTTGGGGATGTTCAGGGGCAGAACACAAGGTGGGAAAAGAGAGAGCTGCAGAACATTGAGAGAGGAACAAGAGTAGGCAAAGTTGAGGGGCAAAGGCATTAAAAAGGCCTTTGTGTCCAGGGGAATCAGCATGGATTCCAGGCCTCTGGGAGAAAGGCGGTTGTGCCCACTAGGCCTTTGTGACCCGCGGTGACATTGTGCCCAGAGGCCATTGTGACACGGGTTAATGTCACGACCCTTGCGGCTGCCAATCCCTGCAGTGGCCACTTCCAGGAGAGCAGCTCTCTGAGGAGGCAGCAGCTTCTCTGGAGGCAGCAGCTCCCCTGGGTGATCATGGCCAGTGTTCACCAGAGCACTCCCACAATGCTGAAGAAGCAGGAGACAAATGCCCCTCTCATGTGAGGGGCAGCCACTGCTGTACCGGCAGCGCCAGGTGAGGGACAGGGATGGAGGGACAGCCTGCAGTGGGACCTGGGGGAAGCCCTGGGACAGGGACAGCCAGGCCTGAAAGGGGCTCAGTGGGGTGCAGGAAAAGCATGGTGGCCACACCTACAAAGACCTTTTTGGAGGCCTTAGCCCACACCTGTCAGCAAACAGGTCCATCATGTCCACCTGCACTCACAAACAGTCAAATGCCCACCAAGAGGTGGACACAGAGCCCCTGGAGCTGCCCAGTGCTTCCAGCTCAACCAAAGGCTGCACAGAAGAGGCAGCAAAGTGCTCTGAGCTCCTGTCCCATGCCCAGTTGGCAGAGCAGAGCTCTGTCTCTGGAAACTCACAGCACTGGGCACTCCTGTAAAGGAGCTGGAGGAAAAGCAGGAGGAGGAAGAGCTCCCAGAAGCACAGGCTGCAGGAAAGTGGGACCGAGACCTGCAGAGTCTGTGGCTTGCCCTGTTTTTGGAGGAGACCGAGGGAGAGGCAGAAGCTTCTGCCCTGGCTGGAGATCCCTGGGATGAGGGCCACAGCAAGCTCTTCCCCACATCAGAGCCTGAGAAAAGCTCAGGCTTCTCAGCTTCTCCTTTCTCTGGAGGCTCCTGTGAGGAGAGGGCAACTTGTCAGCCAGCCAAGCATGCTGCAACTCACAAGCAGTTGTGCATGGGGCCTGATGATTTGCTACAACTTCAGAGCAAAAAGAGAGAGGAGCTGGAGAAGCTGGAGGAAGAGAAAATGTCTGCAGAGCTCTTTGGAGACATCTCCTCCTCCATGAGCTGTGATGAAAGCCCCATGACATCCAGCTGTGTCCTCAGGGGTCCATCAAGTGACACTCTGGAACCAGCTGCAGACCCCTTGGTGCAAGAAGGCACTTGCAGTTTGACCAAAGACACCACAGGAGAGACACAAAACTGCTCAGAGCTGTTGTCTCCTGAGCTGTTGGCAGGCTTGGCTTCTGTCTCTGAAGACTCGCCACCCCTGGAAACTCTGTTGAATGAGCTGCTGGAGAAGTGGGAGCAAGAAGAAGCGGCGGGAAAGAGGGACAGAGAGATAGAAAGCCCATTGTCACTCCCGTCATGAGACAAAGAGTTAGAGACAGCACCTACTCCTCCAGACCTCAGCAACCTCAGCAACCAGGGGCACAGAGAGCCTCTGCCCTCGGCACTGCCCGAAGAGGCAAAGGGGTTTGTGGTTTGCGCCTCACCTGCCCATGCCATGGACGAGGCGGACGCAGCAGGCATGGAGTCTGGCCGTGCCCAGGCCGCCCCTCCCCAGGAAAAGCCCTGCGGGCATGAGCCGCCTGCAGGAGCTTGCCCTGTGCCTGCCCAGCCCCTGGCACGCAGCGTGCCTGCTGGCCCCGCTGGCAGCGCAGCCGTCCCGCAGCCCCCGGCCCCACGGCCACGGCGCTCCATGGCCAAGACGGCCCAGCGGGCTCTGCGCCACCTTTTCTCCTTCAGCTGCCTCAGGGGCAGCCAGAGGAGTGATCCCGGGGCCAGCAGCAGGACAATGCCCAAAGACGCCGGCTCACCCTGAGGATGCCCAGCTCCCAGGGACAGCGGCAGCTCCTGGAGGCAACGGCAGCACTGGGTGACAAACCCTGGGAATACACCGATGGATGGGTGGATGGTGGCCAAGGCAACCACTTTCCAAAGGTGGGTCCTGCTGCTGGCCCCAGCCCCTCATCCCCAAGCCAACAGCAAGGCAGCCTGGTCAGGGAGAGCCGGCTGAGGAAGGATGGCAGCACTGCCTTGTGCACTCCACAGAAGCTGAGTTTGGGCCCGGGCTGCATTGTGGGGGTGCATCCCCACCCTGCCCCAGGTAGGGGGTGTTTAGGAGCTGAAAAATGCTCCTTGGCCTCAGCATTGCAGGTAAATGAAGGCAAACCCATTCTCCTTTCACAGGGCAAGTAGGAAAGGACATCCTTGGGTGCCCTTAACACAGATTGGAGAAAGATGTTAACCCTGGATGAATGACCCAGGGTCCTCACCTCCACAAGAACCACCGGGACCCCAGTGCAGAGAAGCACAGGGCGAGGCGGGACAGGAGGGACACTGCTGGAGACAAATGTTCTGGACTATCCACTGTTTGATCTTGCCCCCATGCCAACCTCCCTTTCCCCCCTCTTTCCTTCTCACTCTCCTGTTTCCTATCTATTTAAATTTCTCTACCCCACATTTATTGGTAAATAAAATACCCTGTTGTTGACTTTGTTAGATGATCTCCTTGGCACCTTAATTCAAGCAGAGGCATCTCTCCCCAATCACATCTTCA